TCAGGCTCTGTATAAGGTCATCTGTCAAGCAAGCGTGTAGAGGGACCTTAGGCGTGTCGATGGACTGAGCGTGTGGATGGACTGACCTTAGGCATGTAGATGGACCTTAAGCGTGTAGATGGACTGAGCGCTTCGGCCTGACCTCTGAGGAACTGTGCGTGATTGTGCACTCAGAGATGCTGTGTATGACAGAGATTGATGGGTGTGGATCCCGCGTGGGGATCAGCGACTGAGTATATCAGTGCCAGGGACGTGTCAGCCTGATTTTGTCAGTGGAGGTGTGAGATTCGCATGTCTGAGGATGAACCACCACCCCTTCCTGCTTATGCACCCCCCCCCCAGTTTGCTGTCAGCTCTGTCTGGAGGAAATGGCAGTGCGCAGTGGTGACAGCTGAGGTGTGCTTCTTGGGGGTGTGGGGGTGTAGTGATAGATGTTAACTGTGAGAGTGCTGGTCAGGACAACTGCTCCCTTCCACCACCTTCACAAACATCATTCCTTTCCCAAGCATTTTGAAAGTAATGGATGTTTTCTCCAAAGTCTGGAGACCTAGATGCTAAGTCCTGGGGAAGAATGTGATTATGACCAGAATTCCCTATAGACCATACGCCTACATGTACACATGGACACACAGTCTCCAATATAAGAAGTGATGTCCCACCCATCTGTCTTCCCCAGGCTGCTGGTGGTCACAGCGAGGAGGGAGGTGTTCAACAAACACCTGTGTGATGCTAAGGTAGAGAGAGGTACACCTTCAGACCTCTGAGAGCCCACCTCTTTGAGGCCCACACTAGGGTCCTCTGGGACCCTGACCTTTTGGATCTCAGGTCCAATTTGTTACTAGTTTACACTTGGGAGGAATGCTAAGTGTAATTCCTCTCCCTAATAACTCTTCACAGGGCTTTGTCTCCACTCTCCTCCCCACTCTCAAAAACACCAAGAAGTTGAGCCTGCCCTCCTCTTGAGTCCTGAATCTCTTGGGTCTACAGAGCAGAGAGCTGGGGGTGTCTCTGGGTCTCTGGCCCTCAGTTTTGTTTAGCGACCTTTTAAGAAACCTTCCCTTGCTGTTCCTTAAGACTAGAGTATCTTTCTGGGCTGCTACTTCTCTGTACTCTTCTTTGTGTCTGCATATTTCCACATTTAAGGATCTTGTCTAACTTTGTCTACATCTTGGGGGGATTCTCTTTGTTCATCTTGGGGCTCCTCCCTCTGAGAATACCCCAGCCCAGCAGTGAGGCCTATGGGGCTTGGGGTGGAGAGAGCCCGGCTTCCCTCCAGCCCCCAGCCAGAGGCGATTGCTAACCCAAGGATGACCACGCCGTGTCAGGGCCTGGGCACGCCCGGGTCACTTCTCATTCCGGGCACAGGCGCCTGGTCGATGCCCCGCTGTCCTCCCCCTCTCCAAATCGCCCTCCTCCTGGGCCCCGCCCCTCCGCCCGCCTGGAAAAGGCAAATTTGACATTTTTAAATCCCGAGCCTTAGAGGGATCGATGCGGCCCGGGGGCCCCGCCCGGGGTCGATATTCCTGATTGGGAAGCGGCCGCTGCGCGGAGCCCGCGTGTAAATCACCCGGTCTGGGGGAGGGGGCGCGGGGAAGCTGCCGCGTCCCAGGCGCGCGGGGCCAGGCGGGGTTGGGGCCCGGGCGGGACCCGAGGGCCCAACGGAATGAGGACAGGCCTTCGAGACCCAGAGAGAAGCCCGCCCCGGGCCTCCTCCTCCCCCGCCAGGCCCTGCCAAC